GCACGCGCTCGGCAGCGCAGAGGACCCGGAGCTCCAGGCCAGGCGGCGGGCACGCGCTCGGCAGCGCAGAGGACCCGGAGCTCCAGGCCAGGAGGTCAGCAGCGAGAAGACGGCACCTTCCCCAGACCCCACAGGACACCTCTGGTACCTTTCAGGTACTTGCATATGTTTTGTTTTGTTTTTTCTTTTCTTTTCTTTTTTTTGAGGCATTGTCTCGCTCTGTCACCAGGCTGGAGTGCAGTGTCACAATCTCAACTCAATGCAATCTCTGCCTCCTGGGTTCAAGCAATTCTCTTGCCTCAGCCTCCCAAGTAACTGGGATTACAGGCGTGAGCCACCACACCCAGCTTTGCATCCATTATTATGTGAAAAAAAATTTTTTCCATTTTTGAGACAGTCTCACTCTGTCGCCCAGGCTGGAGTGCAGTGGCGCAATCTCAGCTAATCGCAACCTCCGCCTCCAGGGTTCAAATGATTCTTCTCATGCCTCAGCCTCCTGAGTACCTGAGATCACAAGCATGCACCACCATACCGGCTAATTTTTGCATTTTTGGTAGAGATGTGGTTTCACCATGTTAGCCAGGCTGGTCTTGAACTCCTGACGTCAGGTGATCTGCCCACTTCAGCCTCCCAAAGTGCTAGGATTACAGGCGTGAGCCACCGCGCCCAGCAGAAAGAATTCAATAGTAAGAAAATCATTAACATGTAAATCCTTAATTTTAAAAAGGGACAGAAGACCCAGAAAGACACACATCAGACCACTAACTATGTTCACTGTTAGGAGTGAGGGCCCTGAGTAGGAGCTTCCACCCTACTGAATGGTGCTGATGCCGTATCTAAATTATTTTTCAGGATATTATATCTTATAGGTTTTTTTTGAAACAGAGTCTTGCTCTGTCGCCCAGGATGGAGTGCAGTGGTTTTATCATAGCTCACTGCAGCCTGGATTCCTGGGCTTAGGTGATCCTCCCACTTAGGCCTCTCGAGCTGCTGGGATTACAGGCATGAGCCACTGTGCCTGGCCTGGTACTGTATAATTCTAAAATCTTAACAAGAAGGAGTAACACAGTTGTCCATGATCTTATAAACCGCTGTCGATACAGCACATCATTTTCTCTCTGCGTACACTAGTGTTATAATGAAAGCCTGAATTAAATGTGATTTTAAATCTTTTCTTCCCAGTAAACAGGCCAATCCAACACAGCTAACACAGACTGAACAAGACATGGCTTTCTATCTTCTTTCCTGGGTTTCTATCACGGGAGCCTCTGCACTAGCCAAGGCCATAACTTCCAGGACACTGAAACTACTGGAAGAGCAAGTCCTTACAAACCGTTTCCAGAACAGTTTTCATTTTTTTTTTGAGATTGAGTTTCACCCGGTCTGGGCTGGGGTGGTGGCTCACACCTGTAATCCCAGCACTTCGGGAGAACAAGGCAGGCAGATCATCTGAGGTCAGCAGTTCAAGACCAGCCTGGCCAACATGGCGAAATCCCCGTCTCTACTAAACATAAAAAAAAAAATCGGCTTGGTGTGGTGGCATGTGCCTGTAGTCCCAGCTACTCGGGAGGCTGAGGCAGAAGAACAGTTCGAACCCAGGAGGCGGAGGTTGCCATGAGACAAGATCACTCTACTGCATTCCAGCCTGTGCAACAAAGCAAGACCCTGTCTCAAAAAAAAAAAAAAAAAAAAAAAGGGCCGGGCGCGGTGGCTCACGCCTGTAATCCCAGCACTTTGGGAGGCTGAGGCGGGTGGATCACGAGGTCAAGAGATCGAGACCATCCTGGTCAACATAGTGAAACTCCATCTCTACTAAAAATACAAAAAATCAGCTGGGCATGGTGGCGCATGCCTGTAATCCCAGCTACTCAGGAGGCTGAGGCAGGAGAATTGCCTGAACCGAGGAGGCAGAGGTTGCAGTGAGCTGAGATCGCGCCATTGCACTCCAGCCTGGGTAACGAGTGAAACTCCATCTCTAAAAAAAAAAAAGGAAAAGAATAATGGTGTGTTTTAGTTAAATTACGCTGTTTTCGTGTTGTTCTCAATAAGAGTGGGTGCACCCTCCCCCACCATAGCTGCAACAGGTACGATGTCTAACCTTCTGCCCGTGGGCTGCTCCGGCCCCTGACGCCCTGTGGGGTCAGGCCTGGCTGGGGCCCCCATGCCGCCTGCTTGAGCCCTGCCCACACTGCACAGCTCCCGCCTTGGCTGGGTCCTGCCACTCAATCCCAGGCAGTGGAATCCACACCTCGTGGAAACCCAGCCTGTCACCGAGAGCGTCACCCGCGCGGCATCTGAGGGGAAGGGCCTGGGCATGTGGATTCTCAGAGTTCCAGAGGGTGGCACACAAGTGGGGATGGAACCAGCGTCCTAGAGCCCAAGTGTGCCCCAGGTGCAGCAAGGGAGGGACACAGGCCTTGGGGTTCCAAGGAACAGTGGAGAAAGTAGTACAGTGCAGCTCAGAAAGCCCAAGGCCACCTGCATGTGGGGGAGAGCCCACATCAGGGGCTCCTAGTTCACCCACCTGAGCCTTCTCCTCGGTGGTCTTCTCCATTCCACCAGGGCCCTTGTCGCTGCCGGCTCCATCCTTTCCCTTCTCATCGCCTTCATCATCATCCTCACTGCTGTCACTGCCGGAATCTTCCAGACCTGAGAACATACTCTCCTCACTGTCGGAGAGGCCAGAATCGCTGCCGGCACCGTGGCTGAGAGGAGAGGTGCAGAGGAGAGGGGGCTACAAGGAAACAGTGGGTTAGTGATGACTGCCCCTCCAGGCATGGGGGGATGAACACTGCAGGGAGAACTGCCTCACACCCCACCATGCACCGGCCAGCAGCTCTGTGGCGCGGCCTCCAGGACCACACCCCCTGCAATCACCAACTTCCACCAAAACCATCCACCCAACTTGAACCTTCCTAATCTTCTACCTCCATTGACAAGACAGCTTCCTGCCTTTGACATCAACATTTTAATTCCCAGCACCTCATAGGGAGAGGGCTTTTCAAGGACAATCTCCCCTTCTTGGAGCTCAGCTCTCATCACAAAACCAATACTGCTCTCTACTGCCCACTGCCACTCCAGAGGCCCTGTGGGGTCAGGCTGGGCTGGACTCCATTGGGTCCCTCACACAGCTTGCCTGACTGAGTCCTCTCCACACCTCACCCTGACATCCAAGGCCTCAGAGCCATGAGGTCACTAACCAGAAAAAGGGCCGGAGGCTGGGAGAGAATTGGAGTCCTCAAACAAGAAGCCTCCTCATTTAACCAAATTGGGACCAACAGTTGATCAGTAAATTGAAAGGACTGGCTGACAAGTCAGAGACGCTGCGGACTCTAATTGCAACCACACGTCAACCCACCCACTCCTCTCTCTGAGCAGGACCACAGCTGCCTCTGAGTAGAGCCCTGCTGACTGCATGACCCCAGCACGCTCGGTGTGGGGTCCTTCACTGGCATTAAAAAGTGGAACCAGAACTTAGACTCTTAGGACACAGCTGAAGGCCAGGCACAGTGGCTCACACCTATAATCCCAACACTTTGGGAGGCCAAGGCGGGTAGATGATCACCTGAGGTCAGGAGCTCAAGATCAGCCTGGCCAACCTGGTGGAAACCCCATCTCTACTAAAAATACAAAAATTAGCTGGTGCTGGCAGGCGCCTGTAATCCCAGCTACACAGGAGGCTGAGGCTGCAGTGAGCCAAGATCAAGCCACTGCACTCCAGCCTGGGCAACAGAGCGAGACTCTGTCCCCCACCCAAAAAAAAAGAAAGAAAAAGGAAGCAGTTGAATGCAAAATTCTAGATTTTACTGTTTTCCTAATAGTTTACAAGTCTCACGGAAGGAAGGAGCCGAATTTATTAGCTATTGCATACTGAATCTTCTTCACACAATGCCTCTCTCACAGAGTCATGATGTGTCTCCAGTATTCAGTTAGCTACACAATCAAAATAACCAGTGGAAATGGCATGCCTGATCTGGTACAAACACACCTGGCTCCTTCCACACATTTAGCCCAAGGGTGGAAGCAGAACCTGGCTGGCGCCTACAGCTGCCTGCGGGTCATTCAGTCGGGATGGGGAGCAGGATGAATTCGCTTCACAAAGCAACGGGGCAGTTTCAACAACCCGGCGCGGCCGAGGGGGCTGTGAGGGGCTGGCTGTCCATTCCCTCCACCACCCAATTTGACGACCCCCACAATCAAGCCGGGGCTGAGCTGGCAAACAACAACAGTGGGTTCTGACACAGCAAATGCAGCAGACATGGGTTCTATTCAGGTTGTCGTATTCTCATGTCTAACTCGTGAGCATAAAAACGAAATTAAGCAGCGTCCAAGTAGGTTAAGCATTTACTGGGGGGCGCAAGCCGAGCCCTTTTAATAAAAGGGCAGGATGCACAAACTGAACCGCTGGAGAGGCTGCTTGCAAGGGGGTGCCCCGTCCCCACTCCCCGCTCCCCCGTTTCTTTGCTTCCCGAACGCCATCCTTCACCCCGCAGACCGCTCTGCCTAGGACGCCCCCCGGAGAGGAGCTGCGGCCACGCGCAAGGCCGACTTACGGGACACGGTGGCCCAGATGACAGCAGCAGCCGGGCCCGCCGGCCCCCGCCCGGCCACGTGCACGCCGGGTCCCGGTAGGGACGCGCCCCGCCACCCCGCCGCCCCGCATCCCCGCAGTCACCTCTGGCTCGGGCTCAGGCTCCAACTCGGGCTCCGACCGCCGCTTCCACGGCCGCACGCCCAGCACCGCCGCGCGCCCCGCGCTCCGTGAGCCCGCCATGCCCCGCCGCGCGCCGGCCGCGAGCCCAACTGCCGCTTCCGGCAGCGATAGGGCCGCGTGCGCAGGAGGGCGCGCCCCGCCCAGCCTGGTCCCGATTGGCGGGCGGCGGAGGCGGGACGAGCACGCGCAGGCTCCCAGAGGGGCAGGGGCGGGGTCGGGGCCTGCGTGCGCGCGCCAGGGTGACGCCGGAGGGCGGTGGCGCCGGCGGCGGCGGCGGCGGCGGCGGCGGCGGCGCCGGGAGCGCGCCCGTTGCAAGATGGCGACGGCCATGCTGGGCCCCGGAGCTGTGTGTGCGCAGCGGGCGGCGCTGCGGCCTGGGCGGCTGGCGCGGCGACGGCGCTAGCCCGGCCCTCGGTCCCCCTTCGCGGCCGCTCCCTCCGCCTCTTCCCGCCTTCCCCGACATGGATCTGCCCGTGGGCCCCGGCGCGGCTGGGCCCAGCAACGTCCCGGCCTTCCTGACCAAACTGTGGACCCTCGTGAGCGACCCGGACACTGACGCGCTCATATGCTGGAGCCCGGTAAGGGCAGCGCCCGGGCGCGGGGCCTGTGGGACCCGGAGGGAGCAGGGCCGCGGCGGACGGCGCGGGAAGGGCTCGGCGAGGGGACTGAAGGGCCGGGCCCAGTCGCACCTTGGCTTCCGCGCGGTGAGCCTGCCATGGCCCCGCCGGAGAAGGGCGACGGGTCCCGAGCTTGCCCAGACCCAGAGCCTTAGGCTGGGAAAGTGGCTGCGAGGCCCACTCCCGGTTTAATTCCTGCCCTAGCGAAGTTTCCTTGGCATGAAGAGAATGGGGCGTCCCGTGCTTTGGGCTTCTGCGGTTGGGCGGTTGCGGAAGTGTCCGCACTTGGGGCAAGCACCCGGCTTCGCGAGCGGACGCTGTGCCCCAGGGGACATCGGCGTCCCCAGGGCATGGCCTACGGGGTGCTGGGTCGGCAACTATTCGGAGAAAGTCAGGACTTGGCACGTGAAACGGAGGGCGTTGCTGTAGTGGAACAGGAAAGGCATGAAAACAGAAAGTAAGACGTTATGAAGCTTCAGGTTGATCTCAAGCCCGTTTCCAAATCCCGAATCTGGGTTTCCCAAGAGGAGTTTTTTTTTCATTCCTTATGGGGCGTCTTTCTTCGTGTCTCTGTCTTCAGTTGCCTGGCAGCAGGCTTGTTTACATGATCTGACCCTGCAAGACCGGACAGCTCCGGTTTGCAGAAGTAAATCAGTGATTGTCTGGAGTTGGAGATCAGAATCTGCTGTTCACATCCCGGCTGTGACGTCGTGTCCGGTGAGGGGCAGAGCCACAGCCCATGGCTGGCAAGTGATGGCCTGAAGAAAGGCCACATTGGTTGAGCAGGGTGGCTCCTGCCTGTAATCCCAGTACTTTAGGAGGCAGAGGCGGTTGGATCACTTGAGGCCAGGAGTTCAAGACCAGCCCGGACAATATGGCGAATCCTCCACTCTACTAAAAACGCAAAAAATTAGCCGGGCATGGTGGCACTTGCCTGTGGTCCCAGCTACTTGGGAGGCTGAGGTAGGAGTATCCCTCGAACCTGGGAGGCAGAGGTTTCAGTGAGCTGAGATCCTGCCACTGCACTCCAGCCTGGGCAAGAGTGAGACCCTGTCTCAGACAAAAAACAAAAAGAAAGCCACTGATCATTGGGAGCTTTTCAAGGGACTGTGACAGGCGGGGTGCCACCAAGCATGTGTGGCCTCCCAGGAGCTAAGACTCCAGAGTTCTTCAGGCTCTGCTGAGTGCCTCCTGTTTGCACAGCCTCCTTATGCTGTTAGGAATGAGAAAAGAGAAGTGAAGCTGTCCCAGCCAGGAGGCCAGGTTTTCTGCTTCTCACGTTTACTGAGGCTCTGCGTTACCTACAGAGTGTTTGGGAATAAAGAGAAGACTGGAAATCTTTACTCTTGTTAGAAACACTTTGTGTGTGTCCTGCTGATGCCCCTGCGTTGGCTTCCCATTCCCAAGTTCCAGTAAGGTAAGGTGCAGTGCACCTTCCTGCAGCCTGACTTCATTTCACCATCTCTTCATTCTAGACCTTGGTATTCTTATGCAGAGGAAATTCTCCCATGTTTCTGCCTTCTTTTATCCTTCTTTTTCTTTTTTTTTTTTTTTTGAGAGAGTCTGGCTCTGTCGCCCAGGCTGGAGTGTGCAGTGGCACAATCTCAGCTCACTGCAACCTCCACCTCCCGGGTTCAAGCAGTTCTTCTGCCTCAGCCTCCTGAGTAGCTGGGGTTACAGGTGCACGCCACCACTCCCGGCTAATTGTTGTATTTTTAGTAGAGATGGGGTTTCACCACGTTGGCCAGGCTTGTCTGGAACTCCTGACCTCAAGTGATCCACCCACCTTGGCCTGCCAAAATGCTGGGATTACAGTGAGCCACCGCACCCAGCCCTTCTTTTTCTTACTCCCCTTAACTCTCAGAAGTACTCTCCTGCCCCTTGGGGGAGGGGCATCCAAGATTCTCTGGGATATTCTAAGCTTAATCCTACTAGCATGATCTATCCTGTCCTGTAATCTGCTTGCCGTTTCTGCTTAAAGATTATGAGGCGTGTGGGTTAGGTCCCAGTGTACTGTTTTTGGGACCAAGGCATGTCCTGGGCAGGGCTTTTGAGCAAAGGAGGCAGATCTGATCAGGCCTGTGGCTGGCCCCCACACCACTCACAGGTGCACCACCTGTGGGCCTGTTCTCCCTGGGGAGGGATGGGGAGCTGACCGGAATGTGAATGTTGGTTCCACCTGGCTAGTGTGAAGTGGCCATGGTTGGTGTAGGACATAGCAGTGGGGGCTAGCATGAAATGAGACCGAAGCACTGACTTAGAATGGAAAGAAGCCCTTCTCCAGGCTGGGCAAGGGGCTGCAGAGCTTTCTGGCCCTGGCTGCCTATTCTGGAAAAAGGAGGTTGGGATGAACTCCAGGAGACCCAGGCCTCAGGATCAGGGTGAGGCCAGCGGGGCCTCTTTATAGGAAGCACTCTTTATATTATTATTATTTTTTAGACAAGGTCTGTCCCTGTCACCCAGGCTGGAGTGCAGGGCTATGACTGCAGATCACTGCACCCTCTGCCTCCCGTCACCTCAGCTGAGTCATTGGGACCACAGGCTCACACTACCACACCTGGCTTTTTTCTTTTTTAAGGTTTTAATGGAGACAGGGTCTCACCATATTGCCTAACTCAAGCGGCCCTCCCACCTCAGCCTCACAAGGTGCTGGGATTACAGGTTTGAGCTACCGTGCCTGGCCCGGAGGCATTCCTTTTTAAGACCCACCTGCATTTGGATGGCCCTGAGAGTGAGGGCCTCTTTAGATGTGGGCTCCTGGACACCTGTCTTCACCTGGCGCCTCATGGGTGCAGCTCTCTTCTCGTTGGCAGCAGGAAGGACTCTAGAAGAATGTGCTGAGACCCTGGGGGTCCCTGAGACTGAGAGAGCTGGAGGTCACCAAGGCCTTGGGCCTATCCCGTGAGGTGGGGTCCACTGAAAGCCAGCGGCCAGATGGCCACGATGGAGGGGATGGGTCTCTGGGTGGACAGTTGGGAGCAGTGATCCCTGCAGTAAGGCAAGGGGCAAGGCGTCCACTCGTGAACACATGAGGATTGACAGAAGCAGAGCTGACCTGGCCACACCCAGTCACCCAGACCCTGGCCCCAGATCGTGTCCAGAGCTCCCACAGCAGGCAGGGCCACTCCTGCTTCCCTGGTTCTAAGAGCTGCCAGGACCCAGCAGGCCCACTGGCCCCACCCTTAAAGGTCGGCATTTGGCCCAAGATGCTAAAGGTCCCACAGCGGTAGCTGTGAGGAGCGCTACAGGGTCTGGAGGCCCCGATGTATCCCTGGACCAGAGTGCCTCCAGGTACGGCCGTGAGAAGCACACGGCCGCCCTTGCACAGCCTCTGTGCAAAACACGAGGTCAAGCCCTCTTGGTCTTTGTCCTGTTCTGTCCACAGCCATTCATGTAGATGGCACAATGACCACTTTCTAGATAAGAAAACTGAGGCTCATGATGTGAAGAGGCTTAACTAAGTGAGCGCCGGAACATGGTGAAACCACCTCCAGAGTCTGTGCGCCCTCCCAGAGGGGTCCAGCTGCCACTCACCACCAGGCACCACACCTTTCCCAAGCAGGGCAACAAGAGCCTGGCCCAAACTTGAAAACAGCAAACATTTGGCCAGGCACTCTGGCTCGCGCCTGTAATCCCAGCTCTTTGGGAGGCCGAGGAGGATCACCTGAGGTTAGGTGTCAGGACCAGCCTGGCCAACGTGGTAAAACTGTCCCTACCAAAATACAAAAATTAGCTGGGCATGGTGGCATGCACCTGTAATCCCAGCTACTTGGGAGGCTGAGGCAGAAGAATCACTTGAACCTGGGAGGCAGAGGTTACAGTGAGCTGGGATCATGCCACTACACTGGGACTCCATCTCAAAAAAAAAAAAAAAAACTGGGTAAGTTAAAGGCCTAAATAAATGGAGAGAAACAGTATGGTCATGGAACAGAAAACAGTGTTATTAAAAGGAGAACAAAATTAGAAGAGTTACACTATCTGATCCCAAGACTCACTATAAAGCTCTAATAATCAAGACTGGATGATATAAGCATAAATATAAACATGTAAACAAACAGAGCAGACTATTTGTTTCAGAAATAGACTCACCCATCCAAGGCCGGTTGATCTTGACAAAGCTGCCATTAGTTCAATGGAGAAATAATAATCTGTTCAACAAACAGTGCTGGGAAAATGGGACATCCATAAACAAAAATGTGAGCCTTGTCCTTTACCTCGTATACAAAACTGAGAATGGATTGGAGATTAAATATGAGCTAAGACAACAAAACTTCTCGAGAAAAAAAACTCTTTTAATCTTGAGTTAGGACACAAAATCACAAAATAGGAAAAAATTGATAAAGTCTACTTCATCAAAGTTAAAAATATCTCCTCTTCAAAATACACCATTAAGAAATTAAGAAGCCGGGCGCGGTGGCTCAAGCCTGTAATCCCAGCACTTTGGGAGGCC